AATAAGCATTCAGTTTCCTCAGGTTCCACGCAGCAAAGTTTTAGCCACAGAAGATGATGTTATGTAAAATCATAATATTTTTTGATTTAATTATAATAAACGAAGCAAATCATCGACAAATAAAACAATGTAGGTTATAACATTTTTTCATTGTAATTAATAGTCTTATTAAACTTTGCCAGCAAAAACAGAAAATTAAAGATATTAATTTTTTGGCAAAATATTTGAGAAAGCCCAGTTCTCAATGAAATACAACAGTACTAGTTTAACAGGATTATCTTTCTCAAATGATTTTCTTTCATGAAGAAATTGATTTCCATTAAATAATGTTCATGCACACCATTACTCGTATAGTGACATAGCTATGGCTCACCTTCAACCCAGTCAATTAGTTTGATATCATTACACCACAGTGGAGGTCCCACGGTACCTGTTGTAACGTCATCAGCTAAAATCAAAATGTCATATTCAGTTATTACATATATCACATAGTGAGTGATATCAGATGATGTGTTACTATAGTAAGATGTTCTATATATTACCTGACATTGCTGATATAAAGCAAGGATTTAATCAATACATTACAGTGAATCACAGTTCTGATAAAATTATGTGATTTAGTGTCAAACTAATATTAATCCATCTGCTGACATACCTTCAACAATGGTACCTGCTCCACATGTCTCTGTCAAACCATAGCCTTGTAACATGGGACAACAGAAACAGATATTCATGAAACGCTGTGTTGCCGGTGACAAAGGAGCGCCACCACATAACATAAAACGTAATCGGCCTCCAAGCAAACTTCGGATCTTATGGAACACCACCCTAAAATTGAAATAAACAAGACATTGTCCATTGAACTGAAGTGAAGTGAGATAAAAATAATGTTTACTATAACACAATATGTAATCTCATCACACCAAGCTTGATTGAAATCAATCCAGTCTTCTCACGGACACACATTTTTACGACAAATTGCATCCAATCACAGAATAATTTAGGTGTATGTGTGTCTCACAAATGCCACATCATCATACATTTTGTATGTAAATGAGGTATGCTAGAGATGCAGTTTATTTGTGAATTTCAATCAAAAATAGTTTTTTTTGTTTTTTATATAGATTTTTATCTAAAGAACATTCTGTGAAAATTTGACCAATAATTTCTTATTGGAACACCGTTAAAATTGCTGTTTATTTTCTGGTTAAAAATAAAAAACACTCACACGTGGCAATGTTTATGTCCAATTGCCTAATTTGCATGAGTAAGCAAATAACAGGACCTTTGATTGACAATATGCAAATCAAGATTGTACGGGTCATATTTCATTCAATTCACGCGCATGTGCAATTATTCTCAAATCAGTTATCGCTCGCTAGCAAACCAAATATTATATTTCCTCAGCGTTTTTTCCTAATTTTTATCATTACATTATGCGTGGTGTGAAAAGAAAGAGGTAGAAAGAAGATTCAGATGATTTCTATGTGGGGAGAGGCAAAAGCTACACTGAAGGCATCAGCCCGCCGAACGAAAAACAAAATCGTTGTGAGGTCCAAACGCGACTTTCCCTGAAGGCGTGAATCCGAGTTTCTGATTGACTGAGAGATTTTATTTTTAAATAATTGTTCTCAAAAAATAAACTGAGCATGTGAAGAATAATTTAACATTGTTTACTAAGTTTTACCGCAGTCATTGACGCCTATTCAAAAGTATGATGTTTATTGTGACTAGCGTGAATGGGTAAGCTTCGTTTCGACAATGAGCTGTTATCACTGTAGACTCTATTTTAGGCATCAGGAATGATTGAAATGTCCGAAAATGATGCCAAAATACACCTTAAAAGTCCTATTTTATTTTTTTCTATTTCTATTTTTATTTTGGTCCCTCAAATAAGGGACACGTGAGCTTTGATTCTAACCGGATATATTGCACTGGGTCGGGGTACCTGTACTTCGATCATATTGCAAGTTTTGCTAGGTGGTGCGAGACAGCTGTGTTTGCAACCGGACGAACTCCGTTTAATTCAATGAAGCACACAACTGACAATGCTAAAATAAATTGCAGAGGTACGCTAAAATTAATTGAAAACAAGCAAATAATTTCAATGAAAAATAAATCACAGAGAGAGGTACTTGATAATTAACAACTCTTTTGACGCGCTGACCGCTTCTCCGCGTCTGATGTTTTGTTTTCCTTGTCATAATACTGATTGATGATTTTGTTTTGAGTTTTGAGTTTTTTAGCCTGCAACTCAGCCACGACCTTTGCTTTTTCCGTGAAAAATGGGGAAGTTTACGTCAACTTGACGGACATTTCATTTTTTTTAAACTAACGAACACACTGTTTAGCACTCCTATTTTTTTCATTTGCTGATTTCTACTCAGAAAAATTCGACCGCCCGAAAATGCACCTTAATTTTGCACTCTTAAAACATGTCAGATTTCCAACACTAATTATTTAAAACCGGTCGAAATTTTAAAACTTTTACGTTAGGAGCTGGAGCTCTCTTCTTGCAGGCGACCGTCGCCGGTAGTACAACAGCATGTTTTGTACGTACATCTGTGCGCTGATTGTCTGCGACTGTCTTAGAAAATCCCTGAATAAGGCGTTACCAAAATCGGAAAAAATAAAAAATTGCCTCCTTAAAAAACGAACAGAATTCAAATATTTCTTTTAACAAATATGTTGCAGTCGGAAAAATGGGATTGGAAACCCTGAACAAAACTTCTGTGCCTCGCGTTTCGATTCTAGGATTACGCGATTATTCATGATTGTGCGTTCGCTTCCTGGAGTTGGTTCTTAATACTACATAAAAATCATCGAGGATAAATAAATTTATATCCCACTTTGTACTCTTCACG